ACTTTGAGAGACGGAATAGATGGCATTGTTGGTTTGTTTGAAGCAGTGAAGTAATAAGAAAGAGTGAAATAAATATCCATGAGCTCAAATTAAATTAACCCTAAACAACTATTGGCAATATCAACCCTTCTGTATCATTTCGCAAATGTTAGAATTTTAGAAGCCTTTTCGAGGACATTAAGAGGTTCAATAGATGACAACATGCCTTTTAACCGACCATTAGATTAGCAGAAACAAAGCGTACACAGGCTAAATCAAATGTACAAGCTTACAGCACATTTTATACACACTATATTTATCAGACAATAGCACGAAAAAAAGTTAGAAGTTATAGTTGAAATTTGGTCAAAATTCTTTGTTGTTTTCTTTAGGAGTGAGTGTGTTCATTTGTACGAACATTTGTTGCGCAATCGTGTCATTTATTCATTAATGTCCCGTAAATAATTAATTGTAATGAATACTCACAAAAGTGAATATACTGTTAGGCGTCAAAGATTCATTTTTATCCCTTACTTATTTATTTTCTTCTCACACACACACACACACACACGTGCATTTGCAACAGCCTTGATCCAGATAGCACTGTATGTGTACACACGGGAACAAAGTTTGATCTGTGCACTTGCTTATCACACTGATACCATTAACCTTCTGACACATAAAGACTGAGGCTTACAGTGCAGTTGCCTTTAACCTCCTAAGTGACTTTAGACTGGAAAGGAACAGTATGTATTACAGCAAAGCAGTAAACAACGGCAACAACAACTACAATAATACATCCCCAAGTAAAGGTATCAATTTACTGTCTCCCAAGCCAATAATATGTTTCTGAAAGATAATCTCCCAAGCAGCTGAGACAACTGACGGACAGAAATGCAGTTAGCCTCGTGCACAAACACAAGCACCCACACGATGTTAATAACAGATGTTCAGAACAGCGTGACCCTGCAGAAAAATACATAAGCAGAACCTCACACTGACAACCTGCAGAAATCAAAACAGCATGTTTATTGTACGTGTCCAATGGAGTGCAGATTTTAGGAGGATACAGAGTCTGGCTCTCCCATTGGTCGCACATTAGAGGCGTCTCTCAGTCCGGACCAATAACATTGTATGGAGAGAATAACACCCCTAGGTCAACCGCCCCGATGGGGATGTTTTAGAAACACACTGACCTCTGACCGTAAAAACTGTCTCCAAAAGGCCAGTTGTTCTCCACCGTAGATAAAACATCCCAGCAAACAATGCAGAAGGTTAAAACGGTGCTTTTTAAGTACAGCACAGGAAGTATTTATTTTTACTCCAAAGGCTTTCCAAGAAAAGCTTTTCATTAATGACAAACAGTGAAAGTCATTGTGAAAAAGGATGTGACTTAGGCTGTTAGATGTATATTTTAATGAGGAGCTAGGATAGACACTCACATAGCATTTGCAAATACACTCAATATTCAAATTAAATATTTGAAATGCAAATATGGAAAACGTTTTTAGAGTTCTGCTTTTTGCATTCATTGAAAATATGTAGAGAGAATTTAACAAAAACAAGCCTTGTGCGTTTACTGTCTGTCCCCATAGCAACGCTCGGATAAAGATCCCCATTCACTATTATCTAACAGCTCATTAGAACAAACAAAGACCACAATGTAATAACTTCACCAGGAGCCTTTATGTGTGCTCTTGTTAACTGGTAGAGCAAGTTGGCTCAAAGTATGACCCGTTTCTATTCACTGTGCTGTAAATCGGATACTATGGGGAAAAACACAAGAACAGGCTGCATTTGTAGTGTATTAAAAAAAAACAAAGAGATCAGTTCCGAAGAACAAGGTGTGTAGGAAACTGGAGTTGGGTATCTGTGTCTGATTAATCCACGGATAAAGGCGAGAATGCATTATTGTGACCCATTTCCCAAAGAAATGCATCCCCATCCAAACCGCAAGGGAGGGGTTTATAAAATGAAGAGGAATGTGTTTTGGACAAAACATCAGCATTGAAAGTTGTTAGAAAAATATCACTCGTCACCGGCTTGATCTTCAATATTAGGATACATGTCTTTATTATCCTTGCAAGAATGGAAGTAGTCATCACATAAACCAGGTTGCATGGGACAAACAAGTAACTTTAGTAGAGCCCTTCATATGCTTATATACAAGAGAGGGTGTTACAGTCAACAAGATGGGAGAATACTGGTTCAAAGCAGTATTCTGACATTAGTTCAGATTAGCTAAGGCCTGCGTAAGCCATACACATGAGTCATATGTCTATCTCTTGAGCGACTGTGCCATCATGCCAATCTTAGGAACATAGCTATCATAATTTCAACAGTGTCTCATGAGCGTCATCCATGTGGTCATACATCCGGCTATGTACACAGCTACGTCTAAATGATGGGAGCGTTTTAAAATGATTACTGGCAGCGGGACAATCTTCAGAGAACAGAGACATTTCAGTGCTTCCCCTATCCTAGTGGGAAATACAAATGTTTACCATCTAAATCAAACTCTTGTACAGGAGGACAAAAATAAATATACCATTAAGAGAGAGAGGATCAACTTCAGATAAGTATTGACCTATAGTCAAAACACTCCCTAGTGGCTCTTTCACCTGTGGAACAACCTTTTCAAAATACTCGTTCCTTTCCTGAGCAAAGCACTCAAGAGGACTGTTTTCACACCAGACTGAACTCAGTACACTAAGCGCTGGTTGCCACATCACCATAAACTGTGTGAGAGGAAGGGATGAAAAATAATACAATAACAAGCCTGTATTTATAATGGATGTTTGTTTTCCAGCTCTTAAGATAACCAGTACCATATCTGATTGCTTAGCAAAATTGACACTTTACCATTGAGGACTGTAAGAGGTCAAGTGAGGCAACATATGATATATTTGCATCACATGTAGGTCAGACAGATATCAAAACAGGATCTGGTTTAGTCTATGGAATTTCACCTCCCACAGAGTCACTTCATAAACAACTGTGGTTCAGACAGGTCTTAAAACAAGGTTAGCCATTAACATGATACTAACCAAACTACAGATTTGCTAACATGATCAGCCTCCTCAGGAACTACTGACTAACTAATGGACTTTCATAAGACGTTGTGTAGGCAAGTGGCACAGCATTTGATAACAGTTTTCTTTTGAGGTAAAGTTTAGTAATAGTGAGAGTGTAAACAGGAATTGAAGTCTACTGGTTTCATTTTTACAAAACCATTCATCAGCAGGACATTTGCTGACTCTCTTTAAAGTGAAAACTGTGAAACTGAATCAAATCTACCATTTTTAAAAAGGATTTTCTTGAATTCAGGAATTCAAATGAGTCAAGTCAAGTTCTAACTGATATGATTAATAGTCTTAAATGAGTCTTTTGTTTTAAATACAGCAACACAAAAACAACTTAACTTATTTTGATGATATGTTCTGGACACAATGCACTGGTCTTGTTGCCACATTCTATTTAATAGAAGGATGGGTTGATGTAATGAAAGACAGCTATAACAACATGTTTGGAGTGAGTTTTAAATACAAAGAGCAGATATTGTCCATAGAGATCAGACAGCGTGGACAAACCTCAGAGAGCTCCCTCTCCAGCTCCAGAGCCCGCTGCACGATGGGGCCCCGCACGGCGTACTCCACTTTCTTCACCGTGGGGTTCATGTTGTCGATGGTCAACACCTTGGCCCGGGGTGACACTCCATTCTCGGACATTTTCTCTTTGGGGAGCCCACGCCGCGTCGCGCTCAGACTCGACAAAGCTCTGCCGGGAGAGGAGGACGACAGAGGGGGAGAGGTGAGTGAGCAGACCCTGGGGCCAGCCCCGGCTAACAATTCGTTTCGCCCCCGGCTCAAAAGCCGCACGTTTCGGGGTGACAGCAGCTGCATTCGTGTGGCTGACATTTGTTTAGTCACGGCCTTCTTTCACAAGTTGGGGAACTTGTAAAGCCTCTACGGTGCACAGCGAATTGCACCACGGCGGTCACTTCTCTCGAGAGAAGTGAAATCAAAAGTTGTGACACCACAGAGCTCCTAAAAATGACTAAGCGCCCAGAGCTTTGGACCTTGAGCCTACAAAGAAGGCTGTCTCTAAAGACAATGGCTGCTTCCACAAACTGACTGCTTCTCCCTCCGAAATTATTGGGGTATGAATCCTGCACACATGGCAACACACAGCCAGACCGACTGTATCCCTCCCTCTTGTGCGGCCCGTTATCCCACCCCCCTCTCCTCCGTTATCTTACGCACCGTGAGGCTGTCACTAAGGCTGTGTTCTCCGGTTACCGAGCTGAAACAGTTGAGGGCTTCAGACGAGGGTCGTGGGGATATCGCCAGTTTGTCCCGGGCTCCCTGACTGCACTGAGCCTCTTTTTGTTCTGGGAGCTCCATGCTGTTTGGGTGGAGACTTTTTAAGCTTCTTTGTAAACAAAACAATAACGAATGCTCCTCCTATCTCTACTACTACACCCCACTTACATTTCTGGTTGAATGCTAATTCGTTTGACAAAATATAATTGTGCAATCAGAATAATTAGAAAATGCTCAAATTCACAGGATCACACATTTTCCTTTGTACTGGGATGTTACAAATGACACTCGGTATAAAACTCTGGGCCTTCACACCTACAAGTGTGACTTCAAAAAGTTTCAAACATCATCAGTGCAGGTATGAACAACAGACAGCACGGCAACTATCATTACATGACGTATTCATGAAATTATTGTTTTGTTTATAGCCACTATAATTTCAGCGTTAAGTGGTTGGGAATACATATCGTTTTGTTAACTCACACAAGACAACGGTTGTAGGTATGACTTATAGAATGGACTTCTTGTAACATGCTTTTAATAGTTTTTCTTCTTAAAGTTAAATTCACATATTTACCCCAGTACAGTCTGTGCCAAGAACATTTCAGAGGACAAAAAACATTATAAAAGTGTTTACTTTCATAGGTGAGTAGTTTAAATTGAAAGGCTTATTAACCATTGAACTGTCTGAGGAATTGCTTGTTTTTTTTGTCAAGTAGTTTATTTCGAATTCTACAGTCCGACAATTTTGTTGTGAAGAAATCATCAAATACAAGCCAAACATTTTCATTATCACATTAGTAAAAGGAACATTGTGAATAGATCATTCAAGACCCACTGTATATAACAAACATATTCAAACTACAACATTGTTGAGCCAGAATGATTCAGAATGTCTACAAAGCATTAGTAACATTTAACCATGATGCTCAAATACAGTCAAATGTTACTGAAAATGTTGGTATTCAATAAATCTAACAAGTAATTCTGAAAAGGGCCTTTCAGTCAGTGAAGTTAGACACAATGTGCAACAGTGACTTATTTCCTGGATGTAGAACAAAGCAGTTAACTTTGGTTGGACAATTTCCATTGTTTTCGAATAATGCCAGCTTTAAATACCCGAGTAGTTAAATGAAAATAACCAGTGATAACCTTTTCTACTGTTTATCTTTAACCAGTAGTGTGCTTATGATAGTCTTTACAAAATATGGACAGATGGAGGCACATTTTGGCAGCAATCAATAGGGTTAAATAAGAAAATCTAAATAGCAGCAGCTGGTTCACATTTAAGTATTATTTTAGTCACATGGACAATCAAGATGTGCTAACAATTTCAATAATTCTATTAAAATCCAGTGGCACCAACAATATCAGAGAGAGTCTGTGTGGCCACTGTACGCAATGCAAAGGTGGGCACTGACAGTGGGGCGAGCAGAAAGAGCTGGTGCTGCGGAGTCTGAAGGCCATAGCTTTTGCACTCTTCTGTAACTAGATAGCACTGCAGTGGCTGGTGGGAGAATCCAAGGACAAAGTCATCAGTGTTGGCCCTCTGAGCCCTCTCCTCAGGGGACACACACAAAGTCTCCTCCTGGTTGAAGTAACGTGTGGTGCTGAAGATGTAGAAGAGCTTCAGTATCTCCCAGCAGCGGGCCTTGGAGGGTAAAGGAGGGTCACCCAGTGGACGATTAGTGGAAGTCCGCACACAGGAGACTGAGCGACGTGTTTCACGGTTAATCAGAAGTAGTGCCAGCACATCAGGGCGCAAGGATACAGATCTTGGTAAACTGTGTTCTCCAACAGCCAAGCAGTCTCTCAGGGTCTCCACAAGAGGTGTCCAGAAACGACCCACCATCCCACTCTCAGCGCTGTGCAGGGAAGGCGTTGGGCCGCACAGCACGCACACATCTGCCCCAGGTAGCAGCTGGAAGCGAAGCAGACGGTGGGCAACAGTGGGGCTGCCTTGAGGAAGGAAAACTGGGTAATCACAAGAGGCTGATCCAGAGGCAGAGAGGGACCGTATCAAAGCCGAGAGCAGCACAACCTCCGGTGGAGCCAGACGCCACCATTTCTCAGTTGCTGCAGCTATCCGCCCATGGACGATGAGGCAGCCAAATTCACTGTCTGCAGCCTGAGTGAAGCCATCCAGGGCCTCTTGAAGAAGAGTGGGGTTTGGAGGCAGCAGTGAATCCGCACAGTGTGTCAGGTTACCCAGGATGCCCTCTTGCCTGTCCTCCAACAGTTGATCAATGAGGCTGAAACAGGACCGCAAGTCCCTCTTCAGTCTCTCAACATTTCTGACATTAGTCAGTTCATCCTGCCCCAACACCAGCACCATGCAGCTCCATACATTCTCCAGGAGCCGCTGTAAACGCACCTCGTCCTCTTTGCTGTCACCTGCACCATCTTGTCCACCTCCACTCACGACAATGAGCATCATACTGTCCTGGAAAACTCTCCATACTACTTTACCCCCGCCTTCAGTCTCACAGCTGGACAACACTACTCCGTGGCCAGCCCCAAACATGTGGACACCATTCAGGGAGCCGATGACAGAGAAGGGCAGCTGCTTGGAGGCTCCTCTTGTGAAGAGAGGAACCCCACTGCTGGCTGTGAGGCAGAGGAGCTGTGTGGATCCATGCTGGAGCATCATCATGCTAACTGTTGCTCGCTCTTGTGTCGTTTTCAACTGCAGCAGATTTTTTAAATTAATTTAAGGTCTTCATTGAGTTGATTGTTGACTAAATCTGATACAAATACGATTCTAGCGTCACATCAGTGAGCACCTTGTTAGCATCACGTAACGTTAAACAATTTCCTGCAACTGGCTAACACCGGTACAAACAACGGCAAGACAAGATATATTATACAAGTCTAAACATATTCTCCGTAGAACAACCATTTCCTTTTGTTAGCTAACGGTATTTTACGACTTAACATGCTAGGTTAACAAAGTAAATTACCGTCGTTTCCACAGTAACGCCGTCCCATGATTCATTCTTCACGATTGAGAGGGCGGCTTAATACTGCTGGTCGAGCTGCAGTTGGGATTTAAGAGACCTGGTTTACCGCCGAAGGAGCGGGACTTGAGCACCGACCCGGGATCAGTGCCCGGCGTCCATGGAAGTGCCAATGGATCTGAATACCGTTAGTTCACTTCTCGCGAGAGTAAAAACCAACAGCTCTGGGTTGATCAGAGGCTCAAGCAACATGACGCTTGATGTTTCCTCTTGATTTTGACTCAGAGTAGAAAAAAAGCACAGGTGTTACTAATCCCAATAATTATTCAATTTAAACGATAATGAGTAACCAGCATGCACACAATTAGGAGCCTGAAACTGAATCAGATAAATTAAATGTTGACATCCTTAAATCTATTATTTACACCTTCATCTGTAACAAGTAGAAACGTATTTTTTGAAAATGACCTATGGAGTATTTTTAACAAGTAGAGACATCCACCTCAGGTCATAATCCCCTTCAACACATTTGTGTTGCCAAGCAGTGGCTCACAAACTGGTCCAGCAGATTGGCCCAAAAATATATATATATATTTGTGTTTTCTGTTCTTTGTCTTGTATTGAAATAGATGTATGTTTCATCATCTGAAAATCAGATGCTTTTTATTATTATCTCAAAAACACATACTGTATAAATACTGTACTTCTGACATATGGTAGATAGTTACGTTTGTTATACAATGTTGTAAAATAATTTGTAGCGTAGCAAAAAACAGAAAATGCCAACCAATACAACATGGAGTAGTAAAGAATGTTTTTTTATTCATTAAATACAAAAAAGTCCAGAACAGTGATGACTAAAATAGAACAATAGAAAAGGCACAATTATTTACTGAAAAATCACACTGTGCCATGAAAAATAAAACTGTCTCCTTTCTTCTACTGTGGCTGAAAATAGATGGTCATCTTCCTGACATGATTCCAATGTGTTCTACACTCGAGAGAGAGAGAGAGAGAGAGAGAGAGAGATCCCGTGGCAGTATAATGGCTTGGCATGAGGAGCAGTGTTGAGGTCAACTTTTCCCTGTAGCATCAAAATGAAGGCCTGCAAGACAAGAAAATAAAAGCCACAAAAATAAAATGATTAGGCTTATGATTTGAATCAATGAAAAATTATCAAAAATATTGCAGATAAATGTAATGCATCGTTTAAATCTATCAATGATAGGACTTAATGTATTGTACTATAATACACTGCTGCATATTTTGTATATCTTATATTATGTAAATGCAATATTATGAATTACTACTGATTAATAAAAGGTCCATCTATCTATCTAATTACTACCAAACATCATACTAAAACAAATTGTTTTTGGAAAGATATAGCATGTTTCATAATTTTGAAGAGTGAGCATAGATAGCAAAGAAGTGAATTAGGCTTGAGATGTCTTGGAAGTTTTTGTGAATATTTAGATAGTTATTCCAAACTCAACAAATGTAGTGACATTTTCAAGCTAACCACAGTTTGTTTGCTTTTTGTAATGAGAGGAAACCACTTAGATGTATCGATCAACAATTAAATGCTTCTATTATAGTGAATGTTAGTTTATTCTATCCAATACATCCACTTCTCATTAGACCTTTTCAGAAATGACACCACCTACTTGTGCTGTATTTATGGGTGTGTGACTGATTCCAAATGTCAACAGCGTGCCAGACTCACCATGAATGCAGTGGTTTCACAAGAAGGAGCAGACCTTCTGTGGCCTGAAAGGGTTGGTGCTGGAGGACACACCGGTGAGCAGAGGGTCCTGCAGGGCGTTCTGCATGCAAAACTGTTGAAGGTCTGCAGCTGCCTGGGAGACCTGGTGACAAAAGAGGAACACAAGTTTGAAAAAAATAAAAATCACCCTGGCCTGGTGATCATCAGGGAAGAGGGTATTTGAAGAATAACCAATAGTAGAGAAGAAAACGGAATATCTAGACCTCTGACACTCAGGTTTTAACCATTTTGTGTTGCAACCATGTAAAGATATCTACAAAACAAGCATTCATCGGGTGAAACTAGTGAATGTATCAATGCCTTTGAATTGTGCGAAAAGAAAGGGGTTAAAGAAGGTTATTCATCAGGTTGATTGTTAAGTTGCTACAGTTTCACTTGGATGCAAGTTTACAACATGGATCTTGTCATCCTAAAATGAAAAAACAGATGCTAAATGTGATCAATTCGACATTTTTCTCCTCTTTGTCAAATGCCGATTAATTATCAAAAACTTCCCTTCAATCCAAGCAACGCCCTGCTACGCCTGTTGACTAGCGGCTAGCTTAGCTGTTAGCATAAACTAGCCGTTGTTAGCCGATTGGGCTAACGGTGGAGATCGCCCCCCTCAGTTATTTGCCAGAAAAATAATAAATACACAAATTACCTTCACTCTGTTTATGCTCGCTTCGAAACGGAGCTGCTGTACGACTTTCTTCATGGCCACAAGATTAGAGGAACCCGACATTTTCGGTGTTTTTTGTGAAAAATAAACGGTATGCTGTGGGTGGGATTCTTGGCTTGATGCTGAGAGACAAAAGCAAAGATGATGACATCCGGATTCCGGTTGTTGAAACTTGTGACTGCAACTCCTATTTGATCCCACTAGCGGGCGCCACAATAAAGACAGAATTTAAGCTTTCATAAAAATATCTTTATTGTGCTGTTACACCAGCAACACCCACCATTATCATTCTTGTGTCAATAAATGCGCCATTTCAAATCATAATTATACATTTAAAATATGAAAACAAAGTTAATTTGAACAACTAAACATAATTTGTTAATTTGAATTGAATATAATTAACATATTACAAAAAATATGTTCAAATCCCTACTTGGTAAATAACATCCTTTGAATATAGCTTAAAATCTGAATTGTCAGTGTTGAATTGTTTGTGAAGTAAATAAATGAACAATGGCAGAATCATTAAAGTGCTTTCTTGTTTGATGAGATTTAGTGAATGATCTGTCTAAGTCCATACAAAGCGACGTGGCAAAGAAGCTGCAAAAAAAAAGGAGTGTTCATCAGTTGTGATTGGATTCAGCCATGACTTGATGCTTAGGTTCATTGCGAAATTAGATATACACACTTGTTTTAAAAAGGCACTGAAAGTGTTTCAAGTGAGGCTGTTCTCATCTCCACCCAAAGAGAAGATACTCAAGTCTCCACATCGAATTCTGTTTGATTTGACCCGAAAATCTCCATCTTCAATAGTGCTGGACTCTGGCCAGCATCCTCGTTTTGAATGTCTGGAGGAACTACAATGTAAAAACAAAACAATTAATATTAGGCATGTCAGTAACACGGCACAAACTCAACCAGGATCGGGGTCTGAGCCAGCATTCATAGTAAAATAACACTAAAATGTAATTCCAGAAGCATGCCGAGAAAAGAAAGACAAAGTACAAATAATAGTAATTAAGTGACTGAATAATACCTGCTGTCTGGTATCAGGCGGAGTGTGCGGTAAAGTTCGGTTGTGGATGGCACAGTGGCACTTTGTGTAGGTTTAGGAGTGGAGAAAGCGGCGTAGGTTGATGATTTGGCCGGCGGAGATTTGGTGGAAGACATTCTCATCTCTGGCTCACTTCCTGCAATGCAGCGGATATTCAAATACACGTATTCGTACCGTCACTGGTGTCAGTATGCAATCGAAATGCATCTTTTCTCTTAAAAGAGAAAACATTGAAAGTCAAATATGTTGTACAACAACAAATGTTGTATACTCGTTGCCATCCTCATAGCTATGAAAGGAATGTTATGTTACATTGCACCTTAAAAATACAGCTTCAATATCATTTTGATGCAAAGGTGACTAGCAATAGGTAGAATGTTGCCTTTGTTAGTCCCACTCCCTGAACCCATGTTCTTGCATTATGCAAATATGGTTAGCAAGTGAAGTGGGAGAAGTCCACTGGGCTCTACAGCAACAAAAGTATATTTTAGAGAAACTAGATCATATTTTACTTAGAAAATGTGTTCTTGTGAAACCTTTACTTGTTGCTGAAGCAATGCTATCAGCCAACTGCTGCTGACAGAAGCTGCTGTCAGACAATTAGCAGAATTGGAAAATGTACAAAATCTTACATTATGTTGCTTTCACTACAGATTTGTATTACTGACTTACTTATTGATAATGCACTTTGACCATCAGACGAGGAACATCTCCTACGGTCCGTAAATGGAGTCATGTTCAAAAATTGGTTCTTGAGCCAAGAGGCACGGTCCTCCTCAAAGGCCTTTTTCTGTAGAGTAAAAAACGTTTTTAAAAAAGGAAGGTACTACAATAACAACGCCCACGATAAATGTTAAATAAGATTATGGTGCAACATCGAAAGACTTGAGTACCTCTCGCCCCAGGCGAATAGCAGCGTCTGTGAAGTTCTTCCTCTCCCTCTCAAAGTTTCTCTTCTGATCCTCAAAGAGCCTCCACTCCTCTTTGAGACGCTCCTTCTCCTCCAGTGTGTAGCAGTCATTAAGAAGAGCTGCTGTCTCATCATCAAAGGATGTGTGGAGTTGTTGCTGAATGGGCACAAACAGACAATTTGATAACAAAAGTATTCTTAAGAACTTCAAAATAATAATAATAATACAAAAAGCTGTAAAAATGCAATTGTATCTGACATTTCTGCAAAACATTGCACTCATATTGATATTGGTTTGAAATGTTAAACCTTTACAGACCTGCTGACCATCTTATATAAAAAAGCAGAACTGACCTGGAGGAGCTGTTGCTGTGCATGAATGAACTCTTTGCACTGCTGCACTTCACGCCTCATCCTTTCCATCTCATCCTCGTGGGTCTCCCTTTGTACCACCTCTTTATTGGACTCCATCTGATTCTGCACTTTGGAGGCTGGGAAAACAAATAAACCAAGAGTTGATACAATTACATTTCCATCCACGCGTATTGTAGTTACTTTTGCCATACTTCAGGTGTGTGACAGTGGTGCCTGCATGTACCTTGGCTGTCCAACTTTTCCATGTGGTTCCTCAGTTTCCTCCACTGCTGGCGGATGCTGTTGGTGAGCTGCTCCCTGGCCTGCTCACACGATTGGTCCAGAGTTTCCCTGCTAGAATCCCCCACCTTCTCCTCCCCATCAGATTCAGCCTGAGCAAAAACAGTGGAACAGATCTTTTCAAAAAGCAAGGACCTCATCTCATTAAATCTGACGCATATGCTCAAATGGTATTTACTAAATATATGTTTGTGCATTACAGGCTTCGTACAGCTTTTAAGGAAAAAATGCAAGGACACCTAAATCAGAATTTTGAAGCCGTTATCACCACATCTTAACTGTAACTCTAATATGTGAAAAATAATGTTTACAGAATTCCCTTATAACTACAGCAAAGTATATTTGGCACTTATTATTAACCAGCTGTTCATTTTGATGTGACAACAAATATGACGACATGATTGTAACATTTCAGCTATTAAAATAATTTTGGTTTCCTTTATCCGTTATTGTATACATGGAACACCAGATCACCAATTTCCAAACGTTCAAGACTTTGTTTGAACCCTGGCTTTGGTACTAGGAGAAAATAACAATACCTGGTCCCGACTGTCATCTCTGCTAGGGCGTGGACTCAGGATATGGATCATCTCCTTCTTCATCTGCTGGAGGACTTTCTTAAGCTCAGCGTTCTCCAGCATCAAGGACCTCTGACTCACCTCGTAGTCATTGAGCAAGGACTTGTACATCTCACCCTCATGGCTGCAGAGAGCGATTTATCAATTCAGTTATCTGTATGATACATTCTGCAAATATGGTCAACAACAACTGACTGGAGAGTCCTCATGATACCTTGCTGTTGTTTTTGTGGTCTTCCAGTGGCTCCTTTTTCCATCCGACCGTCCCACACTATTCAGAACATCCATAGCTAGAGGGAAAAATAGGAAGAATATGAATAACTTGATCTGAAATTCCCAATTATAATAAATCTTTGCTGAAGACTAGCATATTCACCTAGTTTCTTATCCTTTCTGTCGACCAGTAGCTGGTTGAGGCGTTCCTTGATCTTTGCAGTTTCCCTCTCTTTCCTCTTGGCATCATGACTGTACTGAGAGGCCCGGCTGGCTATGATGCTCTGGAGCTTCTGAACCTGTGCAGGGTGATCCCATAATGAGTTAGGCAAGCTCATGCATAGCATTTGCAAATAAAAGTGTTGGTCATAATATAATTAAGTACAATTATACCTCATCTTTTTCAGTTTTTAAGCAGCTCTGCAAAGTCTTGATTTTGAGTTGGAGCTGCCTCTCTGTCTCATGGAGACCCGATTTCTCCCTTATGGACAGTTCCAACTGATCCTGGAAAGACGTATAACTTTTATTATAAGCACAATTAAGGTGCTAATGTTTAGCATAAGAAATTAGTTTAGGATTAAAGAGTTGATTCTCAAAATTGCATGTACCGTCTAAGGACTTAATAACACTAATAGAACAAGAAAATCCATATATTTTGGGCCACATATTTAGTGAAAGGGCTGTACCACTTATCTTTTTATTTTCAATCAATCAATCAATCAATGTTTATTTATATAGCCCAATATCACAAATGTTACATTTGTCTCAGTGGACTTTACATTCAAAGCTTCTATCAAACTTTAAATAAAGCTTTGGATATCATCCTATTATATAATGTCATTACCAAAAAAATATCCAATTTAGATTGTATATATGTTTTTACAAAATCTTCAATTCTAACAATATGATTTTATAAATACATGTGGAAGACGAAACTAAGTAAAACTTTTGTTTTGGAAATGCTCAACAAACAGAATTGAACAGAATATGTTTTGAATCTATGTATTTTTTCAATAAATCAGACCAATTATATGTTTAGCCTAGCAAGCGAGCCAACTGTTGAGTTAGGGAAGACGAAACACAAATGTTGGTTTCTTTTCTGACATCTAGTGGTCCAACACTGACCTTACAGACTCAGATTAGTGTCCTGACACAAAGTGAATTAAAACAAGTCGCTTTCTTGTGTTGAGAGAAACAGCACCGAGAGGCCACCCTGTCATACATGCCTTGAGTCTGGAATTGTTCATCTGAATGTGGTCCAAGTTGCTGGATGTCTTCAGCTGGTCTTTCTCCAGCTCTTCTAAATTGCACATATTGCGTCGGTGAATCGTCATGATCTCATACATGGCATTTAGAGCTGACACTGTGTTTATGGTAGCTCCCCCTGGTGAGCTGGCCTCAATGCGTGTAGAGCAGAGGCCCAGTGAGTCAAGCTCCTGTGAAACAAAGGAATTGTTTGTGTCACCATTTAATTGGATAATCTTTACAGAAATTGAAAGTTTTTCAAATAATGTATGGCAATAATAAGAATGTAGCAGGGCATTCGTGTACCTGATTGATGTATGAAATGCACTGAGGCATATTATCCTCAGTGCAAAAGGCACTTATCACATTGTAGGAGCTTCTGGACAGGGGCAAGGAAGACACGAGGTTGTTCTGTCTCGAGGGCGACATTGTCACATGTGATATGCTGGAGATCTCATAGTTTCCTAAAAAATAGAGCAAGTCCCATTATATCCACAGTACATTTCACACCGAGAGGCTTGGACTAGTTTGCAGTTCTAAAATGAGAACAACATTTGGGTCACCTCTAGCAGATTCCAAAAACAAGAATAGCTAATGAGCCACTCTATTCTTGTCATATTCCACCAAAGACATCCCAACATTATCAGAGAAACGTACCCATAGAAGTCCCTATTGGCACAGTTGTCCACCACTCTCCCATATCACCGACACATCGGCACACAGGGATGCAAGCTCATGAGTTACCAAACGGCAGACGGATTAGCAGTCAGGCGTGGATCAGAGGCACTGGAACTGAGCCCTGAAATAGAGCAGCAAGTCATGAGATGGACCAGCAACAGATAATCTGGGTTGCTGCTGCAACCACACAGGATTAACTGACCAATTTTTGCCAGTGGGGGTTTAGGCCCTCCTAGTGGTCACTGCCAACTAAATTGCAGGGTAGTAAGAAGATCTCAGCATAAACCAGATATTTACAGAGATAAAAATAAGGGAATCCATAGCACACAGGCTAAATAAGAGAAGGCTTCTGTTGCGTATGTGCCTTCAGGACAATAATGTTGAAACAAGCTGAACCAGTTATCTCCACAGGCTACTCCCACACCTTTATGATGCACTGAAATGTACCAAGTTATAGGGCCATGGGCTATAGTGTACTTTGTGTTGATTAACAAAAAGGAGTCATGTAATGCAACAGTCAAAGCTTGGGGGAGCAACATGTTGGTGAGGTCAATAAAAACTACCAGTCAATAAGAGTGTCTGCTCGTTGTGTCAATGTGCATCACAGCAAAACTCAATTCAATGTTGTTATCTAACAAGAACACATATGCACACTATCTAAAGCTACACAAACTGAGGCGGAGATAAAGTATTCTCCAGCTAAATATAGTAGGTTTACCTTTACTTTACATAAAAGTTAAAAGCATTGGTGTAATGTATTGAAGTACACTTACTCAAGTAATGTACGTTGGTACGAGTGTACAGTACTTGTACTTCTACAAGTATTTCCATGTCGTCATGCTACTTAATACTTGTACTCCACTACATTTTGGAAGCCAATATTTAACTTTTTACTCTACTACATGTATTCAACGAAATTAGTTACTAATTACTTAAAATATTCAGATTGTAAACTTTGCTAATACAAAATATATAAATAAATACATAAAGTATAATATCTAATGATGGAGATATCGAGCAGCAGTTTACAAAGTAATTAAATTAACTCCACATTTACCAGCTGTGAGGAACACATTAATGCATTAAAAAAAACATACTTACTTTAAGTACATTTTGATGCCAATACCTTTGTACTTTTACTTAAGTAAGATTTGAAATGCAGGACTTGTAACAGAGTATTTTTACACTGTAGTGAAATTTCTACTATTACTTAAGTAAAACATCTGAGGACTTCTTACACCTCTGGTTAAAGTTGTCTTCATACATTAACGTGGACAGTAAGGTTAACTTACTAGCAGTTAAATTGGCTAAAGTTAGACACGTTAAATTACCAGGTAACTTAGCTAATGTGCTAACGTTAATGCCTTGTGTTTTCATGACAAGGTGACATATTAACATCAACTTGAACGTTTAAGTAATGTTAGTTGATTAGTATACGTCAGCTTAACTCACACGTCAAGATGTATAACATGAATGTAATGTTAACTTAACAAACTGACTGCTGTCGTAGCTTTTTGCTAACCTGGATAATAGCTGCATGCTAAGTTAAAATACTCACGGGAGCGGCGTGAAGTGGGTCAACTAAATCCGACACCTGCCAAGTTTAGTAAGGTTTTCGAAACGAACAAAATGCTCCTTTAACGAAAGACCAGAACCCCCCGTCCTGAGTTCACTCGTCACCTTGTCGCCAGCAAAAACAAGACCAGATCTCACCTGTTTCAGTGTGAACGGAGCATGCAGAGAGATGCCAGTACGCTGCTGCTGCTTCTGTGTGTTTTTTTAAAGTCTATTCCTGCGCTGCCTTCACACCAATCGGCCCTGTTATTGGAGGCAGCGTTGTTAAGCAACCAGTAACTGAGCCGTGCATTGGATATGAACACATGCAGAGGACGATTATGCAAATGAGAAAAGCTGTCAGGTGGCACTCCTATGGCAGCAGGAGGTAAATGCCATCTATACCTGCTGGATCTCATTTTTAGGTCATTTTCCTTTTCTTATACCCAGTTGCCATTGTTTGAATTTATACGACGCTTTTCTTTGGTATTATCATCATTATAATTTGTATTTCACATGTTATTCATGGAGCAGACTGCAATATACCTATACTCAAAATATTTGCACATCTGCACACAAACTAGCTCTCATCCACTTTCCGTAACAACAATAGGCCTATGTTTTTTTGTATTAATCATTATAAGTACTTGGCAATAGTATACTGCATGTAGTTTCTTTTTTTTATATCCAGATCACGTTTAAAAAACCGTTTTGTATCTTAACGTATAATAGTTTCAATAGTTTTTATTACATTGTTTCGTTGTTATCTTTATATAATCTTTAACTGTGTTCATGATACACCATGTACAGTACACCAAGGCAAATTCCTCGTATATGCAAACCTACTTGGCAATAAACCTGTTGTGATTGTGTGATTCTGATTTTGATATATATATTTCTTTACTTTGATGCACTTCTAGCCTACTTTGCTTGAATAATTCAATTGTTGTTAGTATGAAAATATTGTCAAATATAGGCAAGTACAGTTTCATAATGTAGATATAAATATAATGAGTCAGAATCCACTTAATTGCGAAACAAGATTTATTTTACTATAATCCACAAAAAATACACAGTAGCAATCCAAAAAAATGTACCAAGTTATAATAGTTGTGGGTGCACACTCATAATGAAATTACAGTTTGGTGACATTACTGGTCATGTAAGCACTTTCCTTTTTAATGATTAGCAATTCAAGTAAACAGGTCAAAGACATTGTACTTTGGTCAGAAGAAATTCTCGCATTCTCCTCATGCATCATAGGCTATAATCAAATCCTCCATGCGGACGGACTCTAGACTTTTTCCCTATACTTATTATTTTAGTCGAGTCTTGGAAAAGGTGAAAGCCACCATCTTCGCACTTCAGCCAAAGCAGTAGCATGGGGAGAGGCAGCAGGCAGCCGACTCTTCCTCAGTCTGGTATCTTCCAGACTCAGGCTGGTCCCTGCACTCTGCTATGAAGACCTGAAGCTGGGACACTGGCACCTTTTCTTGCTGGGAATGCTGGAAAAGTGCAAAGACAAATCAAAACAAGTCTCAAAAAACATTTCTCTACAGAAAGATGAGAGAATATTTATCAGAAAAGTGACTCAGACTGACCTTGATTGTCTCGTAGGTGTCAGTGATGAGAGCGATGAACAGGCTGAGCACCATGTATACGAAGAGGGAGATGAAGGAGTAGAGGTAAATTCTGCTGAAAAGCCACACCATGTAGCCGGCCTCGTTCCTCAAATGTAGGAATGTGGAGTACATATCGTCCCCGTTGATGAGAGAGAAGAGGCACTCTGTCACCTTGCTCAGTGTTCGAAACTGAAAAAAAATGTTTATCATATTTCAGTGTCACCAGAAGAGCTCCCAGATGCATGAGGGGTTTGATTAGGTCAGTTTGACACCTTTAAAAGATTGATTATGATTATAATTTATATACTTTGTCATGGTAAGGCCCAAGGACGATCCAGCCACAGAAACAGTACCCGAGGTAGATCATGGCCGCACAACAGCAGAATCGAATCACATTTGGGAACGCTCCCCTTAGGGTCAAGATTAATACCTAGGAAGGAATAAAGAAGTGTTTAGTTACTTAAGATATGCATTTGCTACTTTAACTTAATTGTCTGATGAATCATCGAGAAACCAAAAAGCATTTCAAGTGCTTACATTATATTTCTTGAAGAAACCAAGGTAACGAATCACGCCGACCCAGACGAGCAGTGTGGCTGTTCCCAACAAGATACTGCACACGTCATAGTTTGTCAGGTACTGCAAGAGAAAAGAAAGAAAATATATGTATCAAAGAAGTACAAGTTATAGGCTGATACTCTTAACCCATTGCCTTTATGCCCAGTCCAAATTCCAAACAGTGAACCTGTAAATAAAGCAAATAAAGTACAATAAACAACAAACCTTTGTTTGTATTCCAATTTTGAGCCCTGACCCAGCGATGGTTAGTATGTCACTGACAATGATGAGGATGTACCAGCCATTCACAAACTCCATGCGGTCTGACCAAGAGACACTTTTATTGTAGTATGCTTGGAAGAATGTGTTGAACTCCTGCATGAGAGAAAATTATCATATTGTAAGAACAAACCAGGATCTAAACATGATGGCTGAAGTGCTATATTTTTTTATGGAATTATTTAAGTGTGTCCTTTTCTTTGATGACGGGGGGGGCTGACTCTTAAATAAAAAAAAAAAATACTGACCCAGACCTTGACACAACAATAATAGGCAATTTTCAATTCTCGCAATGCAACACCCTCAAAAAGTCCTTGATAAGAAAATGACATTAATATTTCTTAGTGACATTTTCTGTACCAAGACTGAATAAACACACAATTACTGAATAAAAAGGTGAATCCTTTATTTATTTAAGTTTTAAAGGCTGTTGGGCAATCGCATTTGAAAATATTAAGTCTTGAAAATCTGGAATGTGTCTATTCATTAACAAGCATGTGTGTGCTTATAAGTGTATAATTATAAATAACAAGCCCCACAAACCCCTTGAAAAAGACATGACCTCAGCGTCTAACTAAAGTCCTGTTTGCTGGTTTATTATATAATTATTAAACCAGTCATGTATTACTTTTTGGATGACATGATGGCTAAACTGCAGTTTTAGCTGAATATAGCTAAATCCTGGACATGTATCAGTGATGATGGTAATAATTGACGTGTGCCTCATAAACGTACAAACTGGAGTTGGAGACCATTGATGACAGAGCGCGTGCAGAGGATGAGAGAGAGGAAGCAGGCGAGGATGACCACAGAATCAAACGACAGGAGGAGGTAATCATTCTTACCAGCTAGAAACCAGAGAACATACTGAGTAAGATCATACTGGTGTCAAAGGTTACAGAATAATATCAATGCTCCCCTTCATGGCCATTTATTTCTTTGGCTGGGTCATAATAAATCAAATGCTTGAATAAAATGTGATATTTTGGAAAACGTACAAGTGCCTTCCACATTCCAGTCTCTGCATTCATAAATTCTTACATCGTTTTCAACATCAACCTTTATCTTGCCACTGTGTGCACGGTTGTCAAACTTGATCTGTATAAAAAAAGATTTCTCATTTAAGTGGCATGTTAAAAATACATCATGTATGCCAAGTGAAATGTCCTAAATGATCAGATAAATGAGTGGTATTTTTCCGTCATTGTCACCAACCATTATATTGAAGTCATAACAGTCCGGTAGCTCGTGGTGCCGCACAGTCTGCAGGTTGATTGTTTTCAGAGTAAGGTAGATGTTCACAGATAGCAGCCTGGACACACAAACATATTAGCAGGCAGTACTCTCATCACCTGCCATGAAATAAGCTTCCTTAGTTTAGTCACCTTTTAAAATCTATAGAGAAGTTTAAATGTGCACCCAAACCACTGCCATCAAACGCCTGCACAGGATATATGGAAATACAATCTGTGAGGAGGAAATACAGGCGATACATTTCAAAAGCAGTTAGACTTCAGTGAATATTTCAACAGAGGAATACATCAGCCTGAATACAATACTTCCTCTTTCTGGAGTCACAAGTAAATCCACATTGTGATTATTTTCCATTCATGGTATGAATCAGATTCCATAAACACAGCAAACAATATACAACTCATGGTAGCTTTTAGACATAAATACAAGTTCCACAGCTATTTATGTCTCCATTTTATGATTTAATTGTTGTTGTTTTTTTATTTATATGGATTGTTTTGTGCTTTTGTACCTTTATCAATATGAGGATCAATGTCAAAGGTCTCAGTTTCTGGATCGATGCTGCTGTATCTGTAAAATTCTTGGCAGACAGACAGAGGAGTGTACTGGCCATCAACACTCTCGTATGCCAGATTACCAACAGTCAGGTTTTGGAGATTGATATACTGAAAGAAAATGCAGAAAGAAGAGTGAAGCACACATTTTCACACAGGAAATTCCCATTTGATATAAGTGTCAAATGTCAGTACCCCGTTAATAATGTAGTAGATGTGATCATACACATCTTCTTTTGTGTACAGTGCATAGCTCCCCAACCGTTGATCTTGGTATCCTTTTAGAAACAGATGTTTGAATGTCATCAGATTTTCATCTTTGAAGGTGACCATCATTTCGTTACTCAGGCCGAAAGAGACCAACTGAAGCAGAGAAGGAAAAAAACACACATTTGAGACAAAAACATATTGATAACTCATGCTCATTCATGCCTAATGACAAAACAAACTATCACAACATTCTAGTACCTGGGCTGTGATGATTGCAATTTTGAATACTTGTAACATGAGTTTCCATGGCTTGCGGCCTCTGGCTGTGTATTTCTCACAGGGGTTCATGAAGAAGTACTTGAGACTCCGTCTGAAGTCCTCCACCACCTTGGACTGCAGGGTCCGGGGGGGAGCGCTGCTGCAGTGTCCGTTCAGCCTCCTCTCCTCTGACCTCGAGGCCAACAGCGGCTCTGATTCATCCATCATTCTCAAGTACAGTACACAATTGTACTGCTTTTGAGAGTTTTTTTTATTTTTTTTAATTGAATACAGCTGCAAACAAATTCACACTCACTGCAAACATACATTTACTTAGGCCAACAACATTTATATCCTGTCTCATGAAATATAAGTGCAAAGTTCACATTCCAGTCTATCTAGTGATGTATATCTAACTGGTTCTCCTGCATGTGTTGCTCCTCTCAGTCTGTTAACTCTCTTTTAAATCTCAGTCTTGGGTGCAAACTTATTGTGCTAAAATAGGATATAATGTTCTATACACATGCAGAAAAGGGTTTTTAAACATTCATAATGTTTAACCATGATCAACAATGACTTATTATCACAGACTGGCACGCAACAGCAAAATGCAGCAGGCAACACATGCCGACATTTTTAGTACAACAAATTACTTTAAATACTATTTATATATGATGCAGGTCTCCCTTGTAAAAGAGATCCGTGATCTCAAGGGACCTATCTGTCTAAATAAAGGAGAAGAAAAAAAAAAAAAATATATATATATATTACTAAATACTATACTATTAAATGAAAACTGAAACAATCATGAAACCCATCAAAAATGAATAAAAGTCAAAGACACATACATTGAAACTATTATAATGTAATTATAAAACACTTACTGAGATAAATGTGAAGGACAGATAGTAAACCTTTTAAGAAAAAGTAAATATATAATAATAAATGAATTACCTGCCGTGCACCAGCGTGCCAGAGTGACTGGTTTTAAAAATCCAGGTTTATGCGCTGTCTACGAAGATCAGTGCAGTCACACCAGCCTTCACCACAAAGACATGGCATGTCATTCCTCTGCGTCATTTGAAGCGTTCCAGTTTTTCCATAACAATTACAGAATCACTGCTCACGCACCATACTGTCTGTAGGCTTCTCTGAGGAATTAATATTGTATTGTCTTTTTTTGCAGACCAACTACAAATCAAATAGGCCAAAGGTCTTAAAGTGCCCTCACAATTTCATATGAAATCAGCAAATCAACTATATTTTATTTTCCCCCTGAGCCACCACACGGTAACAAATAAAGAAAGAAAACACGAGTTGTACGCATAAAGAAAACCTTTAGTATGCAATAGATTATAGTACACGACCAGTTAAGACAATTGGGACAATGTTTTTTTCATGTTTTGTGATTCAAGACTGTAGTGACAAAAATGTAAAACAACTTGTCGACTTAATGCTGCACAGGAGGAACTGGAAATCATCATTTCGGGCTACAGTGCTGTCAAAGGCAGAATCAGAGCGGCTCATTAAGTGGAGCATCATTCCAGTGTGTAAAACAGTCTTACTGCACATAAACTGTAGCTGCCATGCATTCACACCAAACATCAGGAAATCGCACCTTTGATATAATAAGAGTAGAAAAGGAGAGTCCATTTTTCATAGCTCATGATGTGAGAATCATTACTTGCTGCTGTATATACCTTATATATATATATATATATATATATATGAGTTTAAAGCATGAGTATCGAAAATTGCGAAGTACTAAAAGCTGGAATCAAGGCTTTACTTAAATTGTTCGTTACTTATTTTTTTAACAGTTTAAAAAACATAATTGTCCATTTTAACCTGCATTTATTTTCTTGTACACCTGTTTTTATTCAAAGCACATTTAACAAGTGTGTCTTCTTTAGTTAAATAAGAAAAAGGGTTTTGTAAATATTATTAGAACTATGGTTTTATTTTGGCCTTGTATTAAAACTAAGGTAATGATTGGCACCAGTATCAAAGCATTTCAAACAATACTTGAGCTGATTGGTATAGTAGTAGTATTTCCCATGTACAGCAATTTCTGCCTAATCAAAGACATCACACCAAAAACAGCAATTTGGATACTAGATTAAGTAACTGAGGATTCTGTTGGTTTGTCCCTTTTACTGCATAAGAGTGTCTTATAGAGATGTGAAATTAAAAGATGCTCCCCCTGTGTGATGTTGGAGTAAGAGAGCGCGATCGGAGAGGCTGGAAGTTTGGGTCCCCCCCGGTACTGGTGCATCCCGGCACTCCGGCATCTATGTTAGAGGGGGATTCAACTGTGACATCATCCGGCAGCGGAGGAGCTCCGGGGTCTCCAGGCCGCGGGAGGATGGAGGAGGCTCTGGAGGAAACTACCCCGACGCTAGCACCAACACTAGAGGACAAATAGTCCCCTTTCTGTATTGATGGGAGGTTAAGTGAGCCTGGTAAGCCTGAAATAGAAGGGCTTCGTTCTCCGTCTGGGTGCAAGAGCATTGTGGAGTTATTGGAAAACGTCGGGAGAAGGCTGCTGGTTGTGTTTGGAGAGCTGAGGCTGCTGTCAGTCGGGGAACTGGAAGCCACTGCTGTGCATCAAAGGATTAAAAACAGACAAAGTTAAAGCATCAAGAACATATTAGATTTAAAAAGGTACACACCAGATTTAATTGGTCTACTAACCTCTCAGAGACTCGATCTTCTCGTTTTTGGCCTTTTGCACCTCATCTGTGATTTTGGTGATGATAAAGTTTTGTGAGCGTGAATCTCTTATGGAGTCAACCAAGGCATCAAGACCTCGGGGGTGCTCTGCCAGCATGTCCAACATCATGGCCGTCCTCTTGGTCTGGGTGGTCCTACAGCTGACCTCCTCCGCATCGTCTCGGGTCAGGATCCTGCGGGAGCGCAGGAAGTCGAGGTGGCGTTCGGCTCGGATCTTTTCGCAGAGGTAGTGCCGCATTCTGATCAGCACCTGGAGGAAAAAAGGGAACAGAGTGAGGACTGAGCGGTACAGGCCCTAACCAGGAGGATAAATGGTATGAATAGGGAAGGCAGGAAAATATGCAGGTTCTTCCCCCACCAACGACTGGTAGAATTTCTCTTGCAGGTGGTCTAAAATAAATGGCACATATTAATAGTTGTCTATCGCTGTGTTAGCTTCTGGTCGTGCTTTTGATGAGTCAGACTGAGCGACCCTGTCAGTATTTAGAAACAAATGTACTCAAACTCCAACCTGTGTGTCCATGATGTTGTTGTTGGCCTACGAGTGGTACAACGTAACATTTTACAGCACATGTTTGTACTTTTCGCGTATTTCCATTTAATGCTACTTTTTACTACTTCACTTCATTTTAAAAAGGTAAATATTATACTTTTTACTCCACTTTGTGTTCGAAGCTTAAGTTAACAACTCATAAAGTTTGATATATATTATATATAGATATATTATTAAGAAGGTTAAGCAATCAGCAAAACACTGCTGCAATAACAAAGTGATGAACACATTGATTCTTAGTATCCTATTGATGCTAATAATGTTGTACTTTCACTAAACATTCAAATGCAGGGCTTTTACTTGTAACATTTTAATTATTGCTAATAAAACAAACAAATGCCCTACTTATCAACCCTAGAGAAGTGAGTGTTGCAGTGGGCACAGTGAAGGTGCGGTGGGGTATTTCCTCATATGAAGGCCTTTAACGCCAAACAAGGCACAAATAAAGTGCCAGCATAGAGTGTATCGATAGGTTTTTTCCACATAACTGAACGTATCAGAATAATTATTTATTGGTAACCATGATTTGGCTGATGTAACCTACTCACGTCTTTTTTAATCTCTGCCATTTCCTCTTCAGTGAGGTGAGGAACGTCCATCCCTCTGACCCGCAAAGTGACAATCCAGGTGTTTCGGTTGACAAATGACGACTAAGATAAGTTAACAAGATAGTAATAATGAAACTAACTACATCGACAAGTCAACCGTACGCGTTAACAAATGTGGCTCTTCATTATTTCTCGTTAACAAGTGGCGTGTCGTTTGGCCATTCAACTTTTATTTTTCGGAAAATCCCCGGACTTCCTGATTCTGTGGAGGTTTACGTCGACACCAGAAGAGAAGTACACTCAGAAAACCTGTTTCACACTAAGAGCTGAATTAGTTAGGTATATTTCAAAATGTGTAGAATGTATAAAAAACGTAAATTCAAATGCTGAATTAAGCTATTATTATCTTGTACACGTTCTTTGTTTTGATTCGTGTTGATTACGTGCGAGAGAGATTAAATGTTTATAAAGGTGAAGTGCAGTTCCGGTGTAGTCCACTAGGCTTCGCTGTTATCTTGTTATACATCCATGGGTTACTTACAACAAGTGGTGGAGGAAGTAATAGTGCACTGTTTAATACTCAATACTGTATATAGTTAATACTATGATACAAGTAAAAGTCCTGAGTTACCTAAGTAATCGTATGTAAGTATAAACAGATACAGTTATTTGGGTATAGTTAAAATAATATAGGCTACTCAATGTCCCCTGTGACTGTAGACTATAATATCATTAGATTATTTTTAGCAATCCATTTATATAAACAGGATTTTGCTGTTGTAGTTGGAGCTCAATTTCAACTATTTCGCATTGGATTGCAATTTACCATAATTTGATTATGCATCAATCTACTGATTATTGTTCCAATTAATTGACTTTGTTTCGTTTGTAAAACTCTGAAATTAGTGGGAAATGCTGTCACTATTAACCAGAGTCTCAACAAGGTTTATTTTTGTCCAACCAACAGTACAAAGCTTACTGAGATATATTACATACCTCAATATATATAATTCAGGATGCAGTACTACTGTCTTAAAATATTCCCATTTAATGCTATTTGTCAACTACAGGCAGGGGCGGCGGGTGCTGTAGGCTAGGGAAGGCTAAGCCTTCCCAAATATTTGTGTAACTGCATCCTGGTAAAATAAAAATATGATGTCTTTGACATTAGCGCTGCTATGCAGCCACCTGTGCCCTGTACCACGAAGCCAGTTCAACATACCCTGGATATGCTTGAGTTCTCTTAACTAACCCTAACAAACGAGATCTCGCTAAACGGTCCTAAGGCGCTGGTTATCAACTCGGTAAATCAAGCCAGGGTTTCTCTCTCCAGCTGAGACCGCGTTCACGTGAAAGGGGCGGGGTTAGCTACATTTGACCAATCACAAACAGGGACAAGTGTACTGACAGCGCAACATCATACTTCATTAATGAAAAGTAAACTAATATTAGACAAATATGAACTTTAAACATCCATGATGACTTAAACATATAATCCAGGATACAAGCCACATAGTTGCACCTGCAAGGAGAATACAGAACAACTCGTTAAAAAATAAACTAGTGTTTGAAAGCGTACAACAGTTTTATGATACTGCCCCATCTAAAACACGAGGGGATCTGACTTTATTACATTTGAGTTGAGTGTTTCGTCAACTTAATGTGTTGCTTAAAATAATACGTCTGCATACAGTATATGTGACAATGTAACTAAGTGTTGCACGGCCAGATACGGCTCGAGAAGCTGACTCAGATAAGGAAATATTGTGATATCGATGATCTGATTGATGATGTGATGTCAGTGTGATATGAATGATAAGTGCGACACGTCGGCGTCTTCTCTGCATACGGCAGTTTAAACTGCATTTCCTTTTTCCTGTAATATGACTTGATAGATTTAAACTCCGCACACGGAGCTCTGATCGGTCAGCAGGCGGTGCTTTCACTGAGTTGATCTCTTTTCTATAGACGCCGGAGGCGGGCAGCGTAAGATGGAAAAAAAAGTTATTAAGCCTTCCCAAACCTGAGCCTCACGCGCCGCCTATGACCAGGGCCGCCCCTGGCTAACTTGGGGCCCCAAGCGACATTGTGAGATGAGCCCCCCCCCCCAACCGACAGGAGTGAACTTTTTTTTTTGGAAACAAAGTAGGCTACTTTGCAAATATAATTCCTGTTTATTATTATTATCAACGGTTACTTTTTTATACAGTGAGGTAAAT